AGTGCTTTTGTCCCCAGTGGTAATCTGCTTGCTCTCAATGCCCCAAACCATGGTATACGTTTTCAAAACAACGCTGGATTATCACCACTTTTGAGAGTGAAAAATGCCGGTAATGCCCAGCAGCCTGGTCTTTTGTTCGGAGTACGGTCTTTTGTTACTGGGCCCTGTTTCCTTTGTCCCAGTTCGGAGACCCGGCCACACATATAAACCATACGGCTCCGATTTCGGAGTCCCCGGCAGGTAGTGGTTAAGCCTATACTTACATGTACATGTATTTCCTACTCGGAGCATACAGACACTTAGAGACAAACATGACAAATGGTTCAACTGTGATATCTGACTTTCCTTGCTTGAATTTCCTCCCCAAAGTAACATCTCGGCCGAGAAGATGTTGTACACAGACAACGACCTACAGAATAGCATGGACCGCATCGAGACCATTAACTTCCACCAGGAGATTGAAGCCAGCGGGGTGAAGTTCTGGTGCTACAACGCTGGCCACGTGCTCGGGGCTGCCATGTTCATGATTGAAATTGCAGGTGTCAAGGTAGAATTGTGCCTTTCTGTTCATTTCCAAATACTCTAGTATAGAGGCTTTGCATGGTAACCATCTTGCAGTGCGGTTCGTTTGTTCCACAGGGGAATATTTTTCGCGCATACCCCGTGGAACAAAAACAGTGGTCTACAAGATGGCAGCCATGCAAACCCTCAATAAGCTGCCTTGAACCAAAATATTGCAGCTCCCTGTAAACACAGCAGTTGAAGCTTTGACTTGCAAATTTGCCTTTAATTGAATAAAAAAAGGTGTAATGGCATTATGTACAATACAATTTTGGGTTCGAAATAGCCCTAATAAACATATCCAAGAGATGCTCGTAAAAAGTACTAGTAAATCAGTCAAGTGACCTGACTGGTGCGATTGGTCGCTGCTTGAAGTGGTCTCCTGTATTGTCTCTGGTTGCAGATTCTCTACACAGGAGATTTCTCCAGGCAGGAGGACAGACATCTAATGGCTGCCGAAATCCCCAACATCAAACCGGACGTTCTCATCACCGTAAGTGGCAGCCCACGGGCGGAATCAGAAATCTGTTAGATTCAATTCTAATGCTATGAAATCATGAAAAGTTACTCTACCAGTGCCTGGTGTTTGCAGACTAATTTCAGAGGAAGGAGCGAAACTCCAATATTACAGGCTCGATCTGTTCAATACAATGTATGTGCGTTCATTACAAAACGTTAATTATGAGTTCGTTACTGTGCAATTTCAATTTCATCCAGTATGTTTTTTTTTTGCTATTTTCTTTTGAAATACATGGTCTCATGGCTGTCAGCCTGCATGCACAGAGCACATCAATAAAAAAAATATACAGTGGAACCTCGTTAAAAAGAGCACTGTTTATTCAAGATTCTGCTTATAGGAAGGAAAATTTTAGGTTCCAGCCCTTTGTTTTTCATTGTTTTCATTCCTGATAATACAAGGTTCCTGTTATAACAAGGTAATTTGCCAAATCCGAAGGACCTCTTATTAACGAGGCTCGGCTTTAATTTCGGCTGACCTGTCTCGGATTAATGTGGCCTTTTCTGCTTCTCACAGGAATCAACGTACGGGACCCACATCCACGAGAAACGAGATGAGAGGGAAGCGCGCTTCACGGGGACTGTGCACGACATCGTCAACCGAGGAGGGCGCTGCCTCATTCCCGTCTTTGCCCTGGGCCGGGCGCAAGAGTTACTTCTGATCCTGGGTAGGAATGTCGTTCTGTCAGACACACTTGGAAAAAAATTCTGGTTACCAGCATTGGCCATGCACTTGAAAATACTTAGCGGAAATATATCACCTGCTTAAACTCTTTTGCAGTGTGTATAGTTAGAAATTTCTTCCTACCAATTCTTGCTGAGCATGAAAACTTGCTGACCAGTAAGCTTTCTTTAGCAGCTCTGTGAGGTTTTGCCCATGGTTGGAGTATACTGTTAACCGTAGCTTGACCGATGTGACTTGAATGAATGAGGCCTTTTGGGGGGGGGAAGTAACCAGAGCACCGGGCCAGTACCTCATAAAGTTTACTGGACTGGACCCTGTTTTTATGAGAATGAGACCAGGCGAGATTTCTGCATGCAGTCTGTGCACCCATTCCACTAAACAACAATTTCAGAGTTGGAAAAAGTGGAATTTTCTGAGGAAAGTTGTTTGTAATCGGTCATGCCTGTATCTTTACTATTTGTAAGTGGCTATAAACGTTCACAGATAATAAGTTGGAAAAACTTTGTCTGGTAACCTTAGCAGGAAATATATACCGGTCACCAGGCAAGATCAACCAATGGTTCACAAATTGTCGCTGATCGCATTTGCCCCATTTGGAACCAGTTGCTTGTTGCCAAGAGCCTATTATGTGTTCAGGGAACCATTGACGTCAAAATAATTGTGTGAAGGGACTGCAACCTCGAAAGCAACGAGAAGCGGAGAAAGAAACCGAAACTATGATGAACTGGATTTCCTAAGGAAACATTTGAATGGGGTCAGTGAAGTGCGACTGTACTGCTTTTTGGTGGAAAATCCTTGACCAATGGTTTCTAAATTGTTTTTCGCTCTTCAGATGAGTACTGGGCCAACCATCCTGAACTGCATGACATTCCAGTGTACTACGCGTCGTCACTCGCCAAGAAGTGCATGTCAGTCTATCAAACCTACATCAACGCTATGAATGAGAAAATCCGCAGACAGGTAACGCCATATGCTCCCATTCTAAAAAGGACCATGTAGTAAAATAATATAACGCCATTGATGACGAGAATTTTAAACCAGGTTGTGTGTTCATTTTAAGCAGGGGTTAAAGTCCATTACCCTGCAGGACTGAATGAAAAAAATGACATAAAAATAGTTTCCACATTTAAAACGAGAAACAAAATTAATATACAGTAAGTTTTTCTAGTAAAGTTTGCAGCATGGCTCTGTCGTGTTCTCTTTACAAGTCAAAATTATTCGGCAAAACAATAATGCTGAGAAAGTGGCTCAGTGGTGCTTTCAAAATTTTACCCATCTGATTCACGAAGCCTTCTCTCTACAGATCGCCATCAGCAACCCGTTCGTCTTCAAGCACATCTCCAACCTACGCGGCATGGATCACTTTGATGACGTGGGCCCGTCAGTGGTCATGGCCAGCCCGGGCATGATGCAGAGCGGACTGTCACGGGAGCTGTTTGAGAACTGGTGCACCGACCGACGTAACGGCGTCATCATTGCGGGTTACTGCGTCGAAGGGACCCTCGCTAAGGTAGCAATATGATTTTAAATGAAGCTAGATAATTCTTGTCTCTAGTCCTGAGGACTAGAGACAGAGTGTTGTAGTCTGTGTGCCAAAGAGCAAAGACGCAGTAATCAGTGATCTATGTGACCCGATGTACATGCGCCATTCTTGTAAGCAAAGAACGTGGCTCTGTGCATGGCATGTTGGTACTGGGCAAGCCTCCAGAGCTACGATATATGGCAAAAGTATAAGAAAATAACAACGGAACCAACCAGCGCCTAGTGCTGGATTGACTCAACAAGAACCACACCTAGTACTAGCAGTGACCTAATAACAGCATTTAGCAAAGAAGTCACGGTTATTTTATATGAAAGTTAGTCTTACCCTTAATGGACTCTTGCTTGCTGCAGTGATGGCCAATATCAGGAAAACCTTGAGGATCTCTGTACCCTGACGTCTTTTGATTCGGCCCTGACGTTTTTTGATTGATTTCTTTCTGTACCAGACCATCATGCAGTCACCGGAAGAAATCACCACCATGAACGGCCAGAAGCTTCCTCTGAAGATGTCCGTTGACTATATCTCTTTCTCGGCTCACACGGACTACGAGCAGACTAGCGAATTCATCCGAGCGCTCAAGCCCCCTCACATTGTAAGTCCGAATCGTGTATGACCAGATCCCACAAAATGAGTCTTAAGGCCAATTTTATTCCCCTCATCTAGCAGTACTGCTGCTCAGTGCTCTGAGGGTTTTTGTCATCGCAGTTCGTCAGGTCATGTGACCAATTTCGGCAGCTGAATGTCAGTGCAGATTTAGCCACTACCTATCCATTCATACTCCTTGGTGGAGATAGCCAGATGGGGGAAAAGTGACTTGCTCAAGAACACAACTTGTGTCCAGCTGCTGGATTCGAACCCGTGACCCTATGACCAGGAGGCGCAAACCCTAATCACGGCACCATGTGTCTTCTTTTCTCTTCATTTCCTGTCAGGTCTTGGTCCATGGCGAAGCCAACGAGATGAACCGATTGAAGACCGCCCTCTTGAGAGAGTACGAGGATGACGAGGAAACACACATCCAGATCCACAATCCCAGGATTACGCAGGCCGTGGAGCTGTACTTCCGAGGAGAGAAGATGGCCAAAGTACAGTCACATCAAATTGAGGAATAATTACGGGCACATTAGTGCACATGTCACTTGTTCTGTCAAATTGAGGAATAAGTTTTTAGTCCATTTTTTTAGTAACACTAGTTATAAAAATGAATATTCAGAACCCAGCAAGGGCATATTTATTCCCTGAGTAAAACTCGGGTTTTAGAAAGGCTGTAGATTTCATGTACATTGTCAACCTCTATCCTAGGTCATGGGTAGCCTGGCAGCCAGCAAGCCCACCAAGGACCACCGTCTGTCCGGCGTCCTGGTCAAGCGCAACTTCAACTATCACATCATGGCACCCTCCGATCTGGCCGAGTACACCGACCTGGCGGTCAGCACGCTCACCCAACGACTGAGCGTAGCCTACACCGCCCCGTTGTCCCTCCTGACCCACTACCTGACCCAACTGTCTGGTGATGTGGAGTACGTAGAGGTATACAACAAGCCAGCACTGCGAATCTTCAACGCTGTCACTATCGTCCACGAACCAGCCAAGGGCATGGTCACGTTAGAGGTGGGTACGAGGAGGGCATTCACTGGGTGTAAATGGGCATCAATGGGTACAAACTGGTACAAATGGGTCGATGTGGGTACCCAGCAACTTAACGTTGACATAGTCAAGGGCATGGCCATTTAAGAGGTGGGTACAAGGTAGGCATTCACCATGTGCAAAATGGGTATTGGGATTACAAGTGGGTACAAATTAGCACCCACTTGAGGGAAGGATACAAGGTGGGTGTATGCTGGGTGCAAATGGGTATCAGCGGATACAAACTTGTACAAATGGGTAAAAAGTGGCTACCCAGTGCGTGAATGGGATTAAAGGGGACAAGTGGGTATGAATGGTGTAAATGGGTACACATTAAACTCATGTAACTTGCTAGACAAGGCGCAGTCGCTTTTGGAAGTGGGTGTTAAGGGATGCATTCACTGGGTATAAATGGGTACAAATGGGTGTAAGAGGGTATACCTATATGGATACCATGTTAAGTGGCCAAGCCATAGTCACTCAAAGACTCTGTATAAGGCAGGTCCTGGGTGTAAATGGGTACATCTGAGTATAAATGGGTTTATTTGAATGGCAAGGTCACTTCAGAGATAGTGTAATAGAGGCGTTTGTTAGATATCAGTGACTCAGAAGTAGCAGACTGAGAGACTGTTTTTTTTTTTCTGAACCTGAATTTTCTCCTTGTTCCAGTGGGTGGCAAACGCCGTCAACGACATGTACGCAGATGCCGTGATGGCCGTCGTCGTCAAAGTGTCAACTGATCCAAATGCACAGAAGCGTAAGCATGAAAATCGTTGTAAATGCTAGGATGTTGCTTTTTGGAGTAATAAAAACTGAAACATCAGCTACAAAATACCCAGTGGTTTGGCCTTCCAAGAAGGACCAAGCCCCTCTGTATTTAAAGTCACCGTAGCTGGACTCTACATGTAATCTGCCTTCCTTCTTAGTACAGAATCTTCCAAGCCTTTGTTTGAGTTTGAAGGATCTGGGCAGGTCTTGTTGAAGTACCAGAGTGCTTGTGTCGCAGAACATTTAGGGTTATGCGTCTGCACTCGATACCTGAGTGACCAACTGTTGATTTCAAGAATCTATCCAAGTGTGGGACCTGGCTTTTTAAGGCTGTCCCGCGACCCCGCAAGACCAACACAACACCACCAGTCTGAATTTAGGTCATAAGCCATTGAAACGAGCTGCAGCAAAAAATCCTTTGTCATTGGTCACCGTGTTACTGGTGACTTGTCTTGTGCGTGATCTTGACTACAACGCTGCCCCTAATTAACCCCTTCACGGCGGGATTATTTTGACCGCGACTGCTGAGCTGTGGTATGCCCTGAATGGAGGGCTTTGTCCAGCAGCAGGCCCCATTGAACCAGCAGCTGCATGGTGAATAGACTGTATGTGTGGTATGCACTAATCCTCACACAACGGTGCGGTAGTAGCAGTCCTCCGTAGCGAAGGGTTTAACTGGTTACTTATTAATCTGTCAAGCCATGAAAAAACAAAAGGGAATTTAAAAAAGACTAAAGATAACACTATCGTAGAATGCTGCGACAAATTTAACTTCTCTGTGCGAGGATGTTGGTGAGCGTTTAGGAAAGAAAGAATTGATGCATTCTAGTTGTCTTTGAAATCTGGAGTTGGGTCACACTGCATGGCAGTGGTGTCATAATTTTTGAACAAGTGAACTTCACACTCAAACGCACATCACAGTCAGCTCGTCAAATTTAGAAGACATCAACACCCCAGCACTGGCTCTGTAATTTTTCTTGTGAACAAATTTTGCATAAATTATACTCCCTCCCTCAGTGAAGCACATCCCGCCCAAGAATGACATTGACCAGTTCAGCCAGCGGCTGACCAGGCTGCTGGAGGATATCTTTGGGTCGGGAGCCGTCGCCCACGACGAGAAGACCGACCTCATCACCGTCAGCATCGAAGGCAAAGAGGCTCAGATTAACACAGACCTGCTGGTAAGCAACTGGGTCCAATATCACAGAAATGCTAAGCACAGAAGTTTACGCTAACGGGCTCCACGTATTTCATGGAGGCCGTAAGCAGTAAGCAAAGCAAAGGAACGCGTACCTTGGAGGAAAAGTGTTCCTAATGTAGTGACAAAACAATGGAAATTTCTAGGCACGTATAACTGTAAGCACAACCACGCAAAACACTGCCATGAAATGGTGCTTACAGTTAGCAACATTTCTGCTCTAGTAAGCAGGTCATTTCTGCTAACTGTTGAACAGCTCCATGAAATTGGGCTCTGATGTCTTTAGAACCCCCTGCCAACCCTAAAAGACCGTTTGGGAGGTGCATCTACAGCCCGGTATATTTTCTTTCATACCGAAGCAGCACCAAGCTGTTGGGAGCTTCTCTGCTGATGTCTTTGGTCATTTCAATTCTAATTTTCTAAAAATTGGGCAGATTGATTTCACAAACTTTTCCTTGTTTCAACATAGGCCAAGTATGAATGACTATAGCAGAAACCTAGATTGCATTGAAGTGAAACTTCTCATGTACTCACTATGGATGTTCCTACACGTGTGCTAAGTTTCAGAAAGATTGATGTTGGGACAACCACATGCACAGGCCAGTGTTTATAGCCAGCAATATTTTAGTGCAGGACAATTTAGTAATGGCGAACGGAAGGAGCGGAGCGACCAGAATCTCGCGAGTCATGGCCGGGGGTGCAGGGGCCCGCTTAAGGGGACTCTAGATTGCTTTTTCAGTGAGAATTTCTTTCCAAATTGATTGAGAGTTCAATTTTTTTGAATTCTTCCAACTAAGAATATGAAGTTTTGATAGTTAACTAATTTTTTTGCTGGAATTTTTAAGGATTTCTGTGCCGGTCGGTAGGGTATTTCATCAAGCTTAGTGCTAGACGGTAGAACGCTGTGGTGGAGATCCCTGACCAGTGCTGACTGGCTTACAGTGGCACGGGCAGCATTGACTTGGCTCATCAGGAATGACACTGACGAGTGTCTTTTGGGTAGGCAGTGGGTTTTGGGCCCCAAAACCGGAGAAACTGACTTCCTGCATCTGATTTGTTTGACAGGAAGTGAAGACAGAAGACAAGTCTATGTTCCAGATGATCAACACGGCTATCCAGCGGTTACACAGTGCCATAGAACCAACCCAGAGCTGATAGTTGACCTCCTAACTTTGACCTATGACACGGAATCGTGTCAAGCACCTGTTGACAGTAGGTGGAATGGTAGATGTCTAGTGGAGGTCGATGACCTCTGACCCCTTAGCAACTTTTAGCAACTGCCATTGTGCATCATTGCATAATTGGAGTGAACTGTAAACTTTGACCTGTGACACGGAACATCTCCCGCAGCTTTGCTGAGTAGGTGGAGGCCAATGGACCTCTGACCCTTGATGTTGTGCCAGGTATTTGTATACAGTGCTCAGCATTCAAAGGAACAATGAGTTTGCTCCGAACTATAAACTCAGGACAACCAAAAATAAGGTGGCATTGGGTAGAAAAGTTTTCATTGGTCACAAACGGGACTGAAAAATTTCACTGAAAGCTGAGCATGGGCTATGCACTGAATATGCATGATCAGGGACCAGTAGAATGGAAATTTCAGAGGGAAGTGGAAAAGTTACGCTCACATTTGTTTCACAACCTAAACAGGTCAACTGTTGAAGATGTAAAAGCAATATTCATTGTTGAAAATGTACTTTATGCAGTGGAGTGTGTAAATATAAATAGCATGATTTGTGGCTTGCCTATGAAACAGTGTCTGAAGCCAAGTTTGTATACATCGTGGAATTGTTTACGGCCCTGCCAAGCCCAGTGCTAACCACTTGCTGGTGTGGTCCGGGATAATTATCATTTTTTTCTGTTTTCAAAATTCTTTAAAAATTCATTCAATTTTCCTTTACTGGACACTTACAAACACGTGAAGGACTGTCTGGTTTCCACTCTAGCCTGACAGACAAAATCTATAAAGCATACGTGTCCAGATCTGGAATCCCCGGCAGAAAGTGGTTAAAACTATAAACTGACTGTGGCTGGCAGTATCACACACATCAATGGCACATCTAGCCATAGGCAAGAGGGAACCGAGAAAGGGCTCAGTGTATACCCCAATTTGCCAATGCCAGTCTGTCTCAGCGAGTTGAGCTGGCGTAGTGGCTCTTTCGTCTCTATCCATCTCTGTGGCCTGGGGTCGAATCCCACTGGGTCGGCAAGTGGATTGGGTTTTCAAGCCCAGAATCATCGGAAATGAATGAAATCAACACGAAACATGTGCAGCACATTGTCAACAGCTTGCATGCCCTGGTCAACACCCCGTCGAGAGGATAATTTCTTTCAGGAAATTTGCGACCGAACTGCAAGTTAATTGCCCCCATATGACCTACACTCAACACCCGTGTGGTCCCACAACTGCTAGAACGTGTACGGATCACTTTCACATGAAAGCACTGGCGCAAATCCAACACAGATGCATGGGTGTTGTGAGGCCCCCCTTAGGGGGGCAGGGGAAGCTTAACGGAAAAAGGGAGGCGGGTGGTGAAAATCCTCAATTTGAAGAGCTGAGCCTGCCCAAAGAACATGTACGGGGTAACCGTCTCAAGACTTGGACAAATATCCCATACCGTGTGCCTTGAACCATGATTTTGATGTGAATGGGACCAGTAACGGAAAAATATTTTCTGAAGTGTACACTGCAGTAAAAAACTAAGGTTATCTTGTCCTTGGATGGCACCAAGTTGTTTGGGTCAAAGCACGGGCCAAGTACATGTACGACCAACAGCAGCTGGTCAATCATTGGTCGATTTTAAGTGGTACCCAGGCCATATTATGTGCACTGATTACCAGGGAGAATCGACCAGTGGTTCAGAAATAAGTATATTTTCCACATGACCTCTTGACCTAGCATGGTTGCTATGGCACAAAACACAAGTATCAAATGCCCTGTACAGACTATTTTTCACATTGTTGTCATTTCGAGATTCCACAGTGCCAAGAAATTGGAAATTCTGGTTTTGAAATTTTGTTTTCTTTAACCCCAACAGTCCCGAATGCTACAAAGTATTACTCAGTCCTGTCGCTTGTAAGAGGACATGACATTATTATTCTCTGAAGCCATAAAATACAATCGAGAAGACAATGTACCATACAGTGCTGTGGCACTATGAATGCATGGTTTCATTGTTCTCTACAAGTAACAATGAAATAAACCTAGCCAGAAATAGCAATTAGTAGCGCTAGGTCCTTCAGGCTCAGAGTTTTACGTAGTATTTTGTAGTACTGAGTTCTCTAAGCCAAACAACACCCGGTACTGTTAGGGTTAATGTGGTAATCATAGAGACAATAAAATGACACTAATGCACAGAAATTGTAAAAGTTTCATAATTCCTTTATTTATAACTTTTTGTATTTAAAGAAGACTTCCAGTCTGCCAGCATAAGTAGAGAATTTAATCTACACCAATCAGTCTGATTTCTTGTGAAAATGCTTTGGAATCTGTTGTACAATTACATTTTTTCCTCTTATACGCACAAGAAAACGTACTGTACACAGGACAGTTCACCCAACCACCGTTCTATTAAAGTCACGTACATAAAAAAGGCAAGGTTTAAAACACAAAACAGACTGGTCCCCTAATGGTGGCCCACTCCCTAATTAGCTGGCTATCATGCTGCATTTCATAGTGCTGATATAGAGTGGTGGGAAACCGGTGACTTTCAATAGACTGGTTCCGAGCTCTATACTCATTTTTTTCTACCCCACCGTGCGCTCCGTGAACTTGAAGTTGAGATTTCGCTGCTGACGTCACCAATTCATGCGCACCAGTTTCGCATTGTGACAGCCACGAACACGTTTAGACGTGAAGACGAGTTGTTCCACATACGAATAGTGTTTATTTCGTCTGTAACATTTCTCTAACATTTGTGTAAAAATACCACAACTGACAGAGATTTCGCTGACAGTTTAAGCGCTGTAGGTTGTTAGTATGTGGGAAAAAAAGAAAGTAAAAGTCCAAAAATCATGCTTGCTTACGCTCCCACAAGCGTACTGATAGCCGAAACTAATTCTATAGTGCACCTTGTATGTGAAAGTGTTCTTGCCATTGTACGGGTGCACGTGCTTCTGCCAAAACTGTTAGCTTCCTTGGTTCTGAAAATGGAAAATTAGCTCCTTGGGGTAACCATAAAAGCAACTAGGTCATCCCATGAGGTTGGGGCACAATTTGTGACGGCGTCCTTGTTACATGGGTAAGTTTTACCACCTGTCATGACCTGTAGTTCATTTACTCTGTAAAAATAACACACACCTCTGTATTCAGCCTCGCAAGATCTATAATTTGGAATCCACATGCAGGGAAATAGCTGATCATTTTTATCGAACCCAAGTAACAAAGGACACCGTCACAAATTGTGCCCCAACCTCATGGAATGACCCAAATATCAACTTTCATACCATGTTATATTTGTTCACTGCGACTACTGTGTTTTAACTGTTAGTAATTTCACTCAATGTATTTAACACTGGGACACATCCCAACACTTGCATCAGTTACCTAACCCAAGTCTGATTTGAGGATTCTATTTTTGACACTGTCAGGAACCAGTCTAACGAAAGCCCAGGCACCACTGTCGCCCACTTCATGAAACAACTACACTGCCTTGTTGGAGAAATCCCAACATTTCAATAAACATGTTAGGCAAGGATTTATTTCCCACATCTTCAGGAGTTACATATCAAGTCTGAGAAAATATTTTCCTCTTGTGATGTCAACTAGAAGGAAATAAACTACAGTACACACTTTGTACTTTTCCATTAGTAATGAGAAGGTTCCAGCGTCGCATTCAAGATGTTTACAAGTTTTGTCCTAGAAAAACACATTCGGATGTCAATACATGTACTTCACATTATATACAGAGCAGGAAAATTTTATATAAAAAATGAAAGTCTCCATTTGAAAAGTTTTGCGTGTTTGCATTTGAACAGAATGGAGTCATTGGTAAAGGGATGGATTTACAATCTGCATTCAGGGAGCATCTCGGAAGTTTGTAGTTTTTTAGTGTTCCTTTCAAAACATAGAACATTTCTGCCCTAGGTAATTTCATGGCATAGTTTCAAATCAACACGTAGAAACTTACCCATGCATGCTCTGCCAACGTACATTGGAAATGTTACGCATTCAATACACTGGTGCTCTGTCATTGACAATGCATTCAAAAATATGAAATTGAGGTTTGAAAGTGTCATACATATAAACGGATGATCTTATTTCCTGCTGAAAACTTTTTGACTATCAATGTGTCATTTTTTCTTGTACTCTTTACTTAGAATAAAAAAAATTACAATCACATTTGTGGCTACTTGCTACATGTAGTTACCCGCAACTCGTGTGCAGCGAAGAAAAACATCTTAGTGAAAGGGGAAAAATTGGTTTCGACTCAAAAAGACTTTGGTTGAAATCCACTGGGAGTGGTACTGAAATGAAAGACGTAACTCCACGGAGAGAGCGGCAGTGCTAACAACTGTCACAGCTGGTATGTTTTGGGCACGAACGCAAGCGCGGATTGGTGATACCCCAGCAAGCATCCATGCCACTGGTGAACACAATTTGTTCATTATTTTGTGATGTCAATCCACTGCTCATTCCCGAGAGGTTTAACGTATAAATCAGTCGGCCAAGCCTAGATATACAGAACACAATGACTATAAGGTATTCGAAAGCGGCTCCTAACGTTAACAGAACCACGAGATGCAGGACGTACACTTCACAAATGTTTGGATGCGAGAAACATACGTATGCTTCATTACGCATGACATTAAACAGTGCACTTGCTCCCGTCAGGAGCGTCGAACTGCTCGGATTTCGTTGAGCCGCAAATTTTTCTCTTCCAATTTTGATGGCAGCAGTTTGAGTCTGACCAGTCACTTTGGAGATTCCCTTAGGCCTTAGTCAAGGCATTTCTGGCGACAATTTTAGTCTACCCATCTGAGAAATGTCACGCTTGAAAAAAGACTAGTGGGTTGGATTCACAGCCTGCCCGCACAGATGCCTCCAACTGTTTTTCTACAGTTATTGATTTAAGTAGTCTAAAGGTTCGCATGCAAATTCCGATAGACCCGTCAATAAATACACCTGACGGCCATCTGCATGAATTCTAATCATCTGTCAGATGTCACTGGTTCCCCTCCCCCATCGAATGTTTTCACCATCTTGGTGGTCAAAGCCAGATGGAATCTTTTCGGTTATGGAAATTAAATATTGGCACCGAAATGGGTAGCCAATATCAAAAGAAAACCGCAAGCCCTCAAACTAAGTTGGCAAAGTTACCAGGCAGCGAATGAATTACACCCTAGTCTTTTTCAAGCCTCATGTGTGTTGCACCAGACTTCAAGTCAACGATCCGATCCCAACAACTGTCTTGACTCGAGGCTGGGTCGTCCTGGATTTTTAGGTACCAGGTTTTCTTTGTTTATGAAATGAACACTTCTCTCTGGTCGTTTCTGGTTTCAAGCCGAGATCTGGCACAGGAAAGTGACTACAAAAACAAAAAAAACCAGATTGCGTTGACTGTGTAAAGCTAATGAATAGGTCAGACAGGGCACTAAAACGACAGACGGATAAAATCTAGACTTGTAGGAACAAGAAAACCCATTAGGGCAGCAAGACAGGTTGTTGCGCTTCCAAAGGTTGCATTGTCAACATCTAAGAGTACTCATTATAACTCCGCCTGAATATGAATTATGCACAAAAAGCTTGGTATGTAAATTAAACTGGGCTTTCATAAACATGAATATTAATTCTGGTTAACTTACAATCACTCTTAATTCTTTAAGGGCATGATTTTTGTCTTCACCAGTGAATTTCTGCGCCCTCTAAAAGCACTTGTTCCTGACTACACTAGACGTACTTGTTATTTAAACCCCAAGGAAATTTTGCAGTTAAAGTCCATATCAATGACTGGGTATAAACTGCACTTGTATCCACACAATTCAAATGGTTTTAAATATTCATTCACAGAGTACATGAACATAGCTTGGCTTGTATTAAGCTTGAACTGACATGGTTTCTCTCTGAACCCCCCCCCCAAAAAAAAATGCTGGATACTTTTCATTAAAATAGCATCTTGGTGTACATGTATTACAAGATTTATTCAAATTCAATTCATTTTTTAACTGAAGGAAGCCACACCCACAAGTGTTAAATATGCATAATCCAATTTACATTACATTAATATTCATAGAGAATGAAAGAATTCCTGCATGAACAAAATAAAAGCCTGCACCATTATCTGTTAATACACAGTTCTACTCATTTTCATACCTTACTTAATCTTCATTTCCTCGATACACACAACACTTTTTTCTTATAATAGAACAGCAAGAAATTGTATAAAGCCACCGCTGCCTGGCTGTATAAGGTACCCCTACTGGCAAGGCAGCAACCATGTTAAGCCTTAACCCCCCCCGGTAATCCAATAGCCTGGCAACTACATGTACACAGCTTACTACAAAAAAAGTTATCTTCAATAAGTCTATCCAAGATTTCTCGTTTAAAGCGTTTTTCCTTTCAACGTACAAATATTAATATCGGTGAGTACTGAGTAAGAGAGAATTTGAAAAAATAGCAACTAACATTTTAATATTTTACACAATTATATAGACAGGCTTCTCACTAAAACGGTCAATGTTTGTTTCCCTCCATACAGTCTCTTTTCCGTGTAGTTTACTTGAGGATTAGCCACATGATTGGTCATGTGACCTGTAATGACTTATCAGATTTCAAACTGCCCGCCCCACATGAAGAAATGAGCCAATTTGGTATTCCAACAGTGCATGTCCAAACCGAAGGTCCTTCGCGGACAGCGGTACGTACGCACCCTTTCCGTCTCACCATACGCCAACCCCCCCTTCCCCACGCGCCCAAGCCTTCTTTCTTCTCAACTGAACTCATTCGTGTGAAAAACCGAACTGGCTCACCGGCCCAATCCCTTGCTGAAAAGGTTTGTGTGCTTGGCAGGAAAGTGCAGCCGGCAACTTTTCAGAAGCGCAGACTCCTAACGGTGAACGCTTTGGCGAGTTTTGGGGAAAAATGGGCTCCGATTGCATACCCCTCTTTGGGTCAAATGAATGGACTTCTCGGTGGAATTTGACGGTAGAAATTGTTAATGGCTTGAAAGAGGCAGTAACACAGTACACTACAAACTATACACGTCTACGAATGCAGCGTTACCGTGGAGTAAACCCACTTGGCATGCAGGACTTGGGTTAATCCCAGTGAAGTACTTTGAATATATTGTGGAAGACACTACTACTGACGGTTGTGAAGGCTCTTGGCTCCCGGGACCTATTGCAGACAGGCCCTTTTGTGCTTGGCAGATGTACAGTGGTTCCGATCACCATGATTCTCAACTTTAAAAGAACCTGGCTGTCGTTGCATCTCTTAAAGTTCGAAGTCCCTTCATTTTTCACCAACTTCATTTAATGTTACGAAAGAGCCACAGACGCGGACTAGCACAGGTGTTTCCACCGTTAGTCCAGCGGGATCCATCCAGTTTGCCTCTGGTGTGTACAGCACAGAGCTTGAGGCTCAATTTTCACGCAGATCTTCGACCAGGCAAGTCTTAGAGCTGTACGCCACAAACATTCCGTTATGGTGGAGGAGTATCCTCAAAGGAGAGGCTGGCTTTTGGGGCTTGGTTTAACGTGCAGCAAATGAATCCCGTGATTTTGTTTGACCGGAACCGGAGACTGCTGAGGATATCGCTAGTACGAAGTAACATACCTGACCTTTCTAATGCAGTAACCAGTGCAAAGAGCCTTGGCAGGTTACTCTAGCTTTTTGCTTCAGTCAACCTCCAGGGCATTTAAGGTCAATCGGAGAATATATCACATTTAAAAGACATTAGTCATGACCTGTGAGTCAGAGGTCATGTTGTCCAATAGTCTGGAGCTCAAAGGGCCAAAGGTCGGACTAAATTACCCTATAATCAGGATGATTCCATTCGATCGGGTTCAGGCCGAAAACGCTGCTAGTAGTGTATACAACATCGAGTGCTTCCCTGACCCAGAAAGGGTCAAAGGTCATATTAAATAACCTCTTCGGTGGGCACCAGCGGGTTCGGTATCTGCACTTGGGCGTAGAGGGGATCCTCAGGGATTTCTGGTGCCGGCGGCGGTGGCAACTCTGCCTCGCCATTGTCCTCCCCGGCTTCCAGACCGGCATTGGCGATGCCGAAGAGCTTCTCCGAGTGCTGCACCCACTGCTCGACAAAGGCCGAGAGCTGCGACTCGTTGGCCACGTCCTCCAAGCTCTTGAACTCCGGGTGGAGGAGCGTGGGCCACCAGCAGACTGTCAGGTTCTGGGCCGCCATCTTGTTGACCTCACTGTGGGAGCACACCCTGGGGAAAATTGAAACACCACAAGATGCTTGAACATACTGCGTGCTGATGACAAGATTATTCGAAGTGTATCCGAATTGGCGACTCCGAGTGCAGTCTTGGTACATGAATGGGTTTTTATTGGTATCAAGAATGAGTTGTAAGCAATGTAAGCCTTAGAAAAAAAAATTTGGTTGTCTGGACAACATTTTTCTTCATCATTGTGTTCAACTTGTAACAAATACTGTTTTCACTGTTAAAATATCAAGAAATTTAGAAGGCAGCAATGTAATTTAACTATCAGATGTGCTTTATTTCATGTAGCCTGGAGGAAAAATCTTCACGTCAAAGACAACAGTTATCCCACAGCAATCTTGTAGGAGACATTGGTATAACCAACGGGTCAGCTCCAAGCAACTTTCAAGGTGCAAGTTATCTTGTCCTGAACTGTATGAGATATATTACGTGAAAATGAGCCCCACTGTCTGGTTCCCAGCGTACAGCGCAGGGTCGCTAACTCCACACTTGCCTACTGCAATGATGGCTAATCTTAGGGGGGGGTCATGCAGTCAGATAGTACTTCAGCATCTTTTTGATTGGACCCTATTGGCCTTCGAGCGAGACCAAGAGAGGGCCCTATGTCCTCAGCAACGAAGGCTCATTTGGTACTAACTGCGCATGGCTGGTTCACAAACGACTTGGAAACGCAAGCAAAGCAGTGGCACAGCTACCAACAAAATAAACACTCCCGACCAAAGCAGCTCTATTCAACCAATGAGCGGGTGCTTATGGTCGAGGTGGATACAGTGCGTAAGTTCACATCTACTGAGTGGTGCCACTGGATGACGATATTGACAAACAGGAATTGTCACCGACGAGGGGCTGGGTTAACTCATTTGGTAGAGTCCCGGTGCAATGATCTAGAGGTCGCAGGTTCAAATCCAACTCCCTTCCCTTTCTGTGTTTGTCTTCTTAACCCCTTCATGGCCGGATTATTTAGACCCCGACTGCTGGGCTGT